CAGCTCTTCATTGGCTCCACCCCTACTGCTGAACAGGGGCCATGCGCACTGCCCAGACCTCCTCCTCATCCCAGCCACCAGGTCCACGCCCACTTTTAATTGTCCACACATCTGCTCTTTCCTGGATGGCTTCTGCCTGCTCAGGACAACTTTGTCTATATTGTTGACACTGAATGGTTAGTTCCCTGGCTCAGGATCCACAAACACCTCTGCACCTGGCTCTAGCCCAAGCCGGAAGGGGGTAGACAGATGCCCATCCCAGGTCTTACCCTCCTAGGACCTTGGAACTCTTTTGTCACTTTACCAAAGAATGGTCACATAAAGCACAAAGGCTCATGCCAGATAATTTTCAATCAAGCTTTTAATGAAAAGATCATAAAATAACAGTTTCTCATCACTGTACATTAAGACTGCACGCTTCTGGAGAGATCAGTCATCGGCGAATCGCTTTTCTATGACACTGGAGGGCTGCATACCTGCAGCTCTGACCTGAATTTATCCAAACTCTAGAGAGAAGTGAACTCAATGATGAGTGACAACGGCRGTGGCCAGTACAGGAGTGCGATCCCGGTGTCCCTCCCCCTCTCTGGGAAGGGTATAAACTAGGACATGATCCCTATTCCGGTTCCAATTAAAACAGCTATAACCCCATCTCTTCCCCTCCCCTCGAGGTATTTGTGAATGGGCCAGAGCCCAACCTGGGGACCCTGGGGGGAAGCAAATGATGGGTGGGGTAGAGAGGATCCCCTCAGCACCTGGCCCCACAGGGCCCCACCAAGTGGAGGGGGGGGAGCCCTGGGGATCCTCCCTGCCCCCAAGTGAGGTCTGTTATGCAGCATTCTTGAGGTCAATAAATTACAGCAATAAATAGCAAGGTGAGGTAGGGGGAGGGGTTCCTGGTAGAAAATTAAACTGGGGTGACTGAAGCTGGGGGCATCCTAGGAAGGGGGGATCCTGGGCAGCCTCAATTCCCACAGCTCCTACCATACCCAGTTTGGAATGTCAGACTGAGGCTCTGGTTAGGTCCCTCTCCATTCCCTCATTCCTGGCATCCAATTCACAGGTTCAGTAACAATGGCCCCAATGTGACTCTGGGGAACAGGACAACCTTGGTCCCTTCAGTAGGGCATGGCAGGGCTGAGCACCCCTGTTATTCTCAGGCCTGGTGCTTATAGCTTTTGTCCCCCATATCTGGGGGCAGGACGGATGCAGCACGTGTTCCCTGAGCCCTGCCCTTCTGGCTGCCCAGGCCAGCCCCCCTCCACTCCCATCATCAATCAGGATGGCCACAGGAGGGGGCAGGGGTCTGCCTGCCTGCAAACCCAGCCAGATCGCACTCCTGCACAGGGGCCTGAAGTCCAGTGAATACTGACAGTTTGGGGGCATCAGGCAAATGGCCCACTGCCCCCCAGTGGTGTCGGACAGGAAACACACCCCCGGCTGTATGAAATCGGGAGTCAATCTGGGTCCAGAGTGCTCATTTCACAGGCTGAGGTGTATGGCTATGCTGCAAGTCTCTGAGATTCTTATTTGCTTAAAGGTTCATCACTTCTTTTTTCCTTTTTTGCAATCCTGAAGGAGCCCTTGCTGTGGCTCGGTCCAGTGGGATTGAGCAGTAGCAGAGCCCGGCCTGCCACTTGCCCATTCACCCCAAGTCTGAGAAATAAATACATTCATCACTGCACAAACATATTGATACAAAAACAACACTGTTAAGAGTGTTTGCACCGTCTGTGTTGTAAGGATCAGGCTCRGTAAGCCTCTTCCCCTGCATGGGGTGGGGGGTGGGGGGTGGAAGCCCAGTGGAGTCAACTGAGCTGTGCAAAGGTCTCTGCTTTTTGGCTTGAGTGAAACCTTCACATCAATTCACCCCCTGAGTATCACTGGCAGAGTAGGAGGGGGAGCTCACCTCCACCCTGGGGCCCAAACCCAGACTTAGGTCCTGTCACCAGAGCTGATTGCCACCCGCTGCTGGCCAGGACTATGGAGGTCCTGGCCAGGAGGCCTCAGGAGCTGATCAGCACTGGCCTAAGCTCTTTGGTGCCAGCTGGGCTTGGAGAGCCCCCAGGGATGAGGATGAAGGCTCAGGTGGATCCCACAGAGGCTTCCAGCCCCTTCTCTGCCCATGAGCCATTCCAGGGCTAACTCAGAAGGACCCCCAGCAGAAGATGAGGATTCCCTGGGACTGGCCTTACAGCTGTTGAGGTCTGAAACTGTAAAAGTTTATGTAAACAATGAGATAAATATATTAGCATCTTTTTTTTTTTTCTGAGCCCATTGAGGTTCCATACTCATTCAAAATGTGCTTTGGTTTAAAAAATAGGTTTTGTGAATTTGGGTATGAGCTTTCCTTTTTTTTTTTTTCTTTTTTTCTTTTTTTTCTTCTTTACTACAGGACATTGACATCTGCTATTTTCTGTTTCCTGTTTCTCCGAAACATTCAGGAATTAAGTGACTAAAGCAGAGAACTGTAAGCCGCCTTGGCCTCCTACGGCCTAATTTCCTTGTGAGGCTCTTAACATCTCCATACATACACACACACAAGCACGCACCCAACATGGAATCAAAGGAAAAGAAAACAAAACTAAGTGTTGTGTCAACCCCATCCCACCCCACAAACCCTTAAAATCTTAAATAGGAAACTAGTGTTTTGCTTTCTCATTAAAATACAGAAAAGGCTTGATACAATACTAAGGTGGGTACAATACTATGTCRCAAAGACATCGTTGAGTGAGGGGGCTTTGCTCCCAGTCCCTGAAGTTCTGCAGAGGAATCACCTACTTTCGAGTCACCTCACAGATGCAGCTGCCCATGGCCCAAGAGGCCATGCATGAGGCCAGGGGCGTGCACAATTCCCAGGCGGTACAGACTTTGTGTCGTGTGGCTTAAGTGCTGAGAGTTGGGGTGGGGTAAAAGAACAGGGAGTCTTATATGGCCCCACTCCCTCCCTGGGTGAGCTGGAGCCCAGGGGTCTCCTCCACTCAGGTGCTCAGCCTGACTTGCTGAAACTAAAACCTAGGGCCCAATTCTGTCTCCCACCCAAAGAGAAGAGGAATAAGCTCAGGACTGGAGGCACCACATGGAAGACTCAGCTAGGAGCCAGAGCTCCCTCACTCCCAAGAATACACTGTTCACCACTGGGTCCCTGAACTCAGGCTATTTTCAGCTGGAGGGTCTCTAGAGAAGTGGGGTAAGGGATGACTCTGAAGTTATTTGGTCTAAACTTAAAATCAAAAGAAAACTGACAAGAAATTCATGAAGCAAAATGAATATAAAGCCTGCTGGCCCAGCTGACTCCAGTTAGCCAAGGACGTAGGACAGAGCATGGTGACCTTGGTCTGGCCTTGAGCCTGGCTTGGCCCATGGAAGTGTTTGAGGCTGGCTGAGAAGTCTGTGTTGAGGAGCAAAGGGTGGGACTCCAGAAAGGGCTGAGCCCATGGGTGATGGCAAGCCTCTCGCACTGGGGGCCACGACTGCTTGAGAAGCGCTAATCCTGTTCCCCAGTGCTTTGGTCAGCTCTTCCTTGCACCTCACTGGGTAAGCAGGGGGCTACTGCTCTCCCAAGCTCAAAGCTAGGGCACAGGATGGGTGGGGGCTCACTTCCGCCTCATCCTGGCCCTGCCAGGGAACTGCCCAGAGATGCTTCCTCCTCTAAGCTCCTGTGCTGCTCAGGAGGCTTGGGGTACCTGCCCCTTGTGAGCAGTTCATATTTCTCACCTAGGCTCAGTGAGCAGCAGGTGCCCCCTCAGAGAACATTGAGGCCCAGGAGGGATGCTCGGGCCAGCCCGAGCCCAACTCACCTCACCAGAGGAAAACAAAAGCATCGGGGCCTCAACTGCCAGTCACCAACATACTGTTGTCATGAATTCAAGAGGTAGCAAAAAGTCAGAAGTCTCTCCACCTTGTTCAGTGAGGAAAGAAAGTGAAACATCTGTCCATACACACTGCACACACCATACACTTACCCACACACACAGAAATGAAAAATGAGAGTACCGACAGCCCTGGCAGCGAGTCTAGCCTCCCCCCACCCCATGAATCTTCCAGTTCCAACAGTCTCATAAACGTTACACGGGGATGTCTCTTAATAAAAAACAAGTACCTCTAGACAAAGAATATTCCTCAGAAACTATAGGAAATGCAAGTACTCCTGAGGCGGCCCAGATAGTACTGGAGACCAGGGAAGCCTTTAGGCAAAAAGGGCTCTGGGGCCTGAAGAGGTGGGCTCACTGGTGTGTTCCACAGTGCCCACCAGGGCTAGGGGAGGACAATGGGGAGGAGCAGCTGCCCCAATTACATTCAGTCTGCAGACCCAGGCTCAGCCCCAAAGGGGCAGAAAGAAAATAAACTATTGTTTGTTTTGGTTTAAAAAACAGAATTCAAAATTGGAAAAGAAAAAAAAAAAAAAAGGAACAGATCAGTAGGAATAACAGCAACATGGGCCCAGAGGGCTCTTTAGTTGTAGAGAGGTAGGCGGTGGGGTCACCCTGACTATCCCAGCGCCAATGAGCAGTGCTGCCCTGGCTCAAGGAGGGAAGGAGAAACCGTCCTCCCAGCACCTGCTCCCCAGAGCCAGGGTCACACGCGCCTGCACACAGACACAAGCACACGTGCACGCACACATACCCAGTCCCTGCTTGGGGGGCCTCCTCCAGATACCACCCCAGCTACAGGCAGCCTTGTCCCCCACCAGCATTGAGAGGGACCCCTTACTCCCCTTCTCCAACCCAACCTGCAGGAAAGGGACCAGGTCTCAGTAAGACCCATGTGACCCACTCCCAATGGCTCTGCAGAAGCCCTTACAGGGAGCTGGTGACCTAGATGGGACAGGGAGGTAGAATGGTCACCAGCAACACATACAGGGAGCTAAGCCTGCCGGCTTCTCTCCTCTTGGCTTCCCTTGGTACAGACTAGAGATTAAAGCTCTGGGTGTGGGGAGGCTGGGTCAGAGGAGCTGATAGGAGCCTCACTGGACCTCAGGGTCCCAGCCCCACCTGCCTTGCCTCCTGGCTTCTTCCGTGGGTTCCCAAGTGGTGAGTCTGAAGAGGGTGCCCGCGGGTCTTTGGCTTCTAGGAGGGGGAGGTGTGCATGCGCAAGTGGCTGATGAGGTTACGCTGCTGGGTAAACTTGCCCCCACAGAGCTGGCACTCATATGGCTTCTCACCTGAGTGCACACGCATGTGCTCAGTGAGGCGGTACTGGCGGGTAAAACGCATGCCACATTCGTCACAGGCAAAGGGCTTCAGGCCCAGGTGGCTTCGCATGTGGCGGGTCATGGTGCCACGCTGCGTGAACATCTTGCCACAGATGTTGCAAGGGAAGGGCCGCGTCAGCCAGTGTGTCTTCTCATGCTGCCTTAGAGTAGCTGGGTCTTTGTAAGTCTTCTCGCAGACAGAGCACTTGAAGGGCCGGGGCTCAGCAGCATAGGCTGCACTGGGCGCCGACAGGTCCTCTGCCTCCTCCTCAGCACCCCCGCTGCCAGTTTCATAGGCCCCTTCCTCCTTGATGAACAGCTCCTCCTCGGTGTGTGTCTCCACGTGGGCATTGAGCTGCTCAGAACTGGGGAAGCCCTTGGCGCAAGGGATGCACACATAAAGGTTGTCTCCATATGACACTGTCTCATAGCCCTCTTGCCGATACATGTAATGGGCGCCAGGGTGGCCACTGCCCCCCTCACTACCACTCTGCCCACTGTCCTCACTCCCGTCCTTCCCATTTTCCTCCTCTTCCTTGCAAGGGTATGAGGGATCCCCATAGGGCCCACTGGGGCCTCCTCCCCCAACACTGCCAGATAGAATGCCATTGGGAACCCTGTCCCCAAGCCCCTCACTCTCTTCTCCAGGGCAGGGGCCCTTGGGCCCTGCTTCTCTCCGCTCAAAGGGGGAGCCAGCCACAGGATCCTTCTTGCTCCACTCCTTCTTGCGGGATGAATGCCGGAGGCTCTTCCGAGGCTGCCCACCTGACCCCTCCAGCAGACTCAGGTGATTATCCTCAGCCCCCTCCAGATCCATGGACTCATCAGGGGTGCCTCCCAGCTCAGCATAAGAGGCACTATTGGCAATGGGAAGGGCAGAGGCCGAAGGTGGTGAGTCCTGCTGACTGTCGCTCAGCTGGGCTGGATCATCAGGAGTGAGGTGGGGTATGGGAGTTGTGGGGGGCAGGGGTGGGCTCTTCTTGGACAGGTCAAGACCCAGCTCCTGTTCACAGCCCCCAGTGCTTCCATTGGTGCTGCTACTGCAGCCCCCTAGGCCTACCTCTCCACTGGTTGGGCAGACCCCCCGGCCCAGGCTATGTGTGCTCTCCTGGGTGGAGCCACTGAGAAAAAGCTCATCATCTGAGCCTTTGGCTGGTGGGAGATCCTGGTGGGTGTGGGTTCCTTTGCGCCCGTCCGCAAGCCCTGGATACCGAGCCTGGATAACAGAGGCTGTGGATAGCCGCTGGCTACGGGATGGTCGCCCCATGCCAGCAGCCCCAACCCGTCCAGAGCCAAAGGGCTTGCCAGCTCGCTTGAGTTTGCGGCGGCAGAGGGCTGCCAACTCAGGCAGCTGGAGGTAGCTGGCGGCAGTGAGAAGAGTGCTGAAGTTGGGCTCAGCTGGCTGGTCGCTGGGCAGCAGCTTGCCTGTGTAGATGAAGTCCAGGATCTGCTGGAATACTGTGGAGCTGACCATGTCTGTGTCCAGATTAATGAGGTTGTCGTGCAGGACCAGGGATTTGAAGTAGATGCTACTGGCAGCCAGAACATTCTTATGGGCCCGGAAAATTGAGTTCTCYACCATGATGATGACATCACAAAGGAAGCCCTTGGTCCTCTGCTGGTTCAGTTGTAGCAGGAGCTGCTTTGAGTGGCTGGGCAGCTCCATGTCGGGCCCCATGTCCCCACGCCCTGCCCACGCACACCACCTGTAGGCAAGAACAGGCATACACGTTAACTCACTCCAGGGTCCTAGAGCACAGTGGAACTCTGGATGGCACTCAAGGAATTATGCACTAACCAGGTAGCTGAGACCTGCACTCATTCCTACCCCCTTAGGCACAGAGAAGAAACTCAATCCTGCTGTGTGCAGGCACTGTACATACAGATCACCTCATTAAAGACTTAAACTGTTTGAGAAAGGACACAGCGTTCCCCCACACCTATTTGCACTAATGAGAAAATGAAGCAAGGAGGGTGCCAAGCAGAAAAACTGGGGTCTGAATTTGACTTCAGAACATAGGCTACTATCTCCACACTAAAAGAAGTCAATCACAGGCCCACATGGACAAGCAGGGAATCCAAAATGACTAGCAGGTGGATATGGAATTTGAGGAACAGAGGCCTCTGTAGGGGAGCTAGAGCCCTTGGTAAAACAGACCTAGCGGGGCTGGGGATGTGGCTCAAGCAGTAGCGCGCTCGCCTGGCATGCGTGTGGCCTGGGTTCGATCCTCAGCACCACATACAAACAAAGATGTTGTGTCTGCCAAAAACTAAAAAATAAAAAATAAATATTAAAATTCTCTCTCTCTCTCTCTCTCTCTCTAAAAAAAAAAAGATTAAAAAAAAAAAAAAAAAAAAAACAGACCTAGCCCTCTGGAGCATGCGGGTCCACAGGGCTGTTTTCAACTTTCTAGAGAAGTTAGAAATTCAGATTTTCGGGCTGGGGATGTGGCTCAAGCGGTAGCGCGCTCGCCTGGTATGCGTGCGGCCCGGGTTCGATCCTCAGCACCACATACCAACAAAGATGTTGTGTCCGCCAATAACTTAAAAAATAAATAAATAAATAAATATATTTTAAAAAAAAAGAAATTCAGATTTTCATAGTCATCTCCCTCTATTAGAAGAAGGTTCTTTTTAAAAATACTGTGTGGCCAAATCAAACACATCTGCTGGTCTGAAACCTCTACTCTACACTGGGGTACCTCTTAAGAGGTGGCTCTGGCTTTCTGATGTGCTAAGAGTACCAATCCTGCTTCCCACCCACCACCACCATACTGTAGTCTCTCCCATGGCTTCTGGTCTTTGCAGAGCCCACCTACATTGAGAAGGACCTTGTTGGGGCAAGCACTGGGGCACTACCCCCAGCCCCTAAACCCTGCACCCTTTCTAAGGACCATAACTGTCTGTGACTGGGAAAGGCAGCCAGCTGGCCCCTGCTAGATGGGCTGGCACAAACACTAATTGAGGTCATTAAGTAATAAACACAGAGATGCCTCTAGTCTCCACAGGAACTTATCAGCCCACTGGTGCAGTGTGTGCTCATGAGGTCCAACCAGACTCCCAACCTGAGCAGTTTCTCTGCCAAGCAAGGCACCCCACAGGGAAAACAAAGGCAAGGAAGTATACAATGGGCCCCAGAAGGAAAGAAATGATCATCCCAAGGCAGTTCTGTGCCTGCTGTTAAGGGTACAGTCTCTGTAAGTAGCTGAACAGCTCTAAACCTTTCCACCACCAGGTGTTTGTGCTCCCACCCCTCCCAGCTTTGTCTCCCACAGGAGCAGAGCCCTGGCAGGAGTCATGCCTACCACAGCCTGTCCTCCCCTCCCATAACACAAATGCTCTTCCCAGATCCACACCTCACTGTGAGTGAACATGGGTGTGACATGCCCCAAAAAATAACACTCAAGAGCTCCACAGCAAGCACCTGCCAATGGGTGCAGTCAGGAACTAACTCTCCACTCCTTGTTCCCCTAACCTACTAGGCAGAGACAAAGAACCCAAGGCATACCTTCCACATTGGGCCCTAGGGCAAAGCCAGTGACACCTTTGACAGTTCCCAGCATACCTAATGCCCCAAGTTTAGCAAAAGAACACGCAAAAGGCAGGAGAGCTCACATATTCACAACAACCCCCCAATCCTGGGCAGTGGGCCCTGGGCTCCTTTGACATTGTCCTGAACTGAATGAACCCAAAAGACTTCAAGGTCAGAACAGAGGCCAGGGCTGTGTAAGCTGCCCAGAAAACCCCAAGGACAAAGAACAGGTGCTGTTCTCCCTTCCCCAAGTCTCCATTTCAGCCTACCGGAGTGCCAGGGGCCCAGAAACCATGTGAGCAGCAGCCAGCAGGGATGGCCTCCTTGAGCGCGTGGACTTCCTGAGGGTACATCAATGCCTGGTCATCTGGGGAGAAGACAGACAGTTACTCACACATCAGCAAGGGAAGGGGGGGAAGAGAGGGATCATGAAGAAGAGGCAATTGGTGACCCTAGATCCTTCATTTTCAGAAAGGTCTGAAGGATGTTTTTGGCTAGAACACCCAGGTGCAGCCAAGCAGGACAGCGGTGCCCTATAGTCACACCCAATGGCAGGGAAAGTGAGGAGTTAAAAGACAAGATCTGAGAAGCTAGGTGGGCACTACCTATCCACCAACACATATACCCTGGAGATTTAGGATACCTCAGGGGCCACCTAGACCTGGGGATACTGGTGGCAGGGATACAATTCCAGATAAGCAGATGAGGTGGCAAGGAGGCTTGGGCAAGGTCCTTCCCAGGCTGGTCACATTTACATAACAAAAGGTCAAAATTGGAGCCACTTGTGCAAGGGCTATTTATAAGAACCAGTCTCAACTGCTCTGGCTCCCCTGCTTCCCTCTCAGATGTGCTCTTGCCCCCTCTAGGCCTAGAGGGCCCAGCCCTTTCCTGCCCAGCCTAATCACAAGGGGCTTCCCTCTCAGGAGGTTTTACTGCTTGAGGGATTGTCCCAGCCTTAGGCTCAGTCTTTCAATACCAGCCTCCTGCAGAAGCTGCTGGCAGTGCAGTTAGATAAGAGTAGGCTCCCTCTCCCCCTCTCCCCCTCAGAGCTCTGGGTCCCGCAGGAGAGGGATCCTAAGGTTCTGAGTCCCTGCACCCCACAGGTCAGACTGGGCTCTCTTGGAATGGAGCCAGGGGTGGGGGAGGGGGCCTGCAACAGTCTGGAGCCCATCCCTGCCTGCCCTTCCCCCACGCCACCCCCAGGGCCAGGGAGGCTCAGCAGGTCCCTCAGGAATGTGACCAGACCCGGGGTGCAGGCCTCAGCCAGGAGGCTAGGCTTCAGGCTACCAGCTGTCTCCCCATGCAGCTCCCCTCTGGGGGGGAGGGGGACTGGCAGGAGGTGAATAAGATTGGCCCAGGATCCCACCAAAGGCCCTGAGGGCAGCTGAACCAATTCTGAAAATACAGAGGTCTGGAAGCCAAGAACTCTTGTGTTGAATGATAACTAGGGCTGGACCCCTCACCCRAAAGTAGCTGTTAAGTCTCTGTAAAAGGAATGGGGCAGAGCACAGCTTTGGAAGGGGAGTGGAGACCACCAAAACAATGGTTGGTGAAGAGTGGACCTGAAGACTAACAGGAAGTCAAGGCTAGCATTCGAATCTGCTAGATACCTTTGGGTCAATTAACCTGCTCCTTGCCTGGCTTTCCTCATATCTGGGATCAGCCAGAGCCCTGCCAACATTCACTCACCAGATGAACCTGTCTGTAGCAGAGTTCAGGCCAGCTACTAGACACTATGCAGGGAGTAAGTGACAAAATAGAGGACTCCAGGACAACTGAGCACCTTGGGGGTAGGAATGCCCTCTGGGTGCCTACTACCTGGCCCTGCCAGGTACTTCACTAACCCAGGTTAGGCTGATTAACTGAATAAGGTTTCCCAGTCAGGGAAGGAGAGGACCCCAGGCTGAGTTAGATGTGACACCTAGCAGAAAGGGACAAGGCTAACTTCCTGAACCCTCCACCAGAAATGCTCTTCACAGGGGGAGGGGGACCCTCCTGTTTAGAGCTCACAGCAAGCACAAAGCCGCCCTCCCAGCCTGCCAGTCTGGGCCATCAACTATACCTACAAGAGACAACATATCCTCACCTCCTAAGAGAGGACCACATACCATCCTGCTGTATTACCCATATATATAACACCCTGCTATATACCCATATAGACTTATATACAGCAGTATATAAGTCTACAAAGCATTGCTCTTTTCTTCCCTACCCAAATGAAGATGGCCAGAGATCCCCACTCTATCCACTCTCCAAAAGGCACAGTAGCAGCAAACAGTTATCATGGAAAGGCCATAAACTGTGGGAGTGTCAAGGACCTGGAAACAGCACCAGGATCACCACCATCCCAGGAAAACCTCAGTTCAAGGGCTGATGCCCTATGTTGGCAGGAGTCACAGACAGGTGGCAGAGGGAGGAGAGGTTGGCACTTAGCAATCTCTGGCAGCAGGCCCAGGCAGTGTGCCTATCAATCCCAAGGACAGCACATCCAGCCCAGATCCATTGCTGGCCAGAATGCTGGCTTCCAGGATGCCCAGGATCTGGGGCAGAGGCATAGCAGGCCTGGGATCTCACTGCTGTCCAGGTACTCTTTTAAGGCTACCACCTAGCCCCTCCAAAGGACAGAACCTTCTGGGTACCTAGGAGAAGGTCAGGAAGAGGTGAAACGGCACAGCAACTCCCTCCTTGGTAGGAACCCTCAACTCCAGGTTACCCCTATGGGTGGATCCTGGCCAGGCTGACCTCAGCAGGCACAGGCCAGTTCACTCTCCCATGAACATAGAAGGTATGGTGGAAATAATAAAAAGACTCTGGGATATGTTCCCAGAACACTGATTAGACAGACATATGATTGTGTTGGTGGGATGAATGGTCAATACCCACCTGCCSTCCTTTTCCTCCCCTCTCCATTCATATCACAGTGTAGAAGACCCATCCCCCACAATGAAGGGAGGCCCAGGACCCAGACTGGCTGGCACAGCATTGAGATACTCTAGTCTTTCAAGCCACTGGCAGCACATGCCTGAGTGGAGCCAGGGCTGTAGAGCTAAGCCAGGGAGCCACCAGAACTCCCAACCCTACCCCACAGACCCCTGTCCACCCTCCTACAAGGCATCCATTCTGGAAGTTCTGGCCCCATYCAACCCAGCAAGTCCCACCTTGGGGAATGCACACCCAACTGCAAAATGAGATTATCTCTGGGGAATGGGACTATCCAAACTAGACTGTTTGTACAGATGTACCTTGACTTATGATGGGTCACATTCCAATAAAACCATTGTTAAAAACATCATAAACTTAGGGGCTGGGGATGTGGCTCAAGCGGTAGCGCACTGGCCTGGCATGCGTGCGGCCCGGTTTGATCCTCAACACCACATACAAACAAAGATGTTGTTTCCGCCGAAAACTAAAAAATAAATATTAAAAAAATATATTCTCTCTCTCTCTCTTTAAAAAAAAATCATAAACTTAAAAAACACTTAATCCACTTACATTATTAAACATCACAATTTAGCAACATAAAACACTGTAGAGCATCAGTGGTTTTCCTTTGTAATCACTAGGCTGACCAGGAGCTATGGCTCTTGCCCCTGCCCAGCACTGTAAGAGAGGGAGCATATCACATTATTGATAGCCCAGGATATATAAATTCAAAATTTAAAGCATAATTTCTACTGAATGCTTTATCACTTTTGTACCATCATAAAGCAGAAATTTGTTGTCAATTACAACAAAATCCATTAATATAATTATAATGCACCAATAAAAATTAAGAAAAAAAAAAGAAGTTATAAGACAAACAAAAAAAATAAGTTAGGAACCTCAGGAAACTGAGACAGGAGGATCCAAGTTCAAAGCCAGTCTCAGCAACAGCAAGGCGCTAAGCAACTCAGTGAGACCCTGTCTCTAAATAAAATACAAAATAGAGCTGGGGATGTGGCTCAGTGGTCAACTCAGGGAGACCCTATCTCTAAGTAAATACAAAAAAGGTCTGGGAATGTGGCTCAGTGGTTGAGTGCCCCTGAGTTCAATCCCCTACGAGAGAGAGAGAGAGAGAGAGAGAGAGAGAGAGAGAGAGAGAGAGAGAATATGAATTAGTCAAGAAACATCTGTATGTTCATTTCTGTGTCATATATTTAAAATGAGTATTACTGCCCCCCATACCAGGTGTTGAACCCAGGAGTAGTTTACCATCAAGTTATCTCCCTAGCCCTTTTTATTTGAGACAGGGTCTCACTAGTTGCTGAGGCTGAACTGAAACTCAATTTTCCTGCTTCAGCCTCCTGAGGCACTGGGATTACAGCATGCAGCACTGCAACCAGCAAATAAGTAGATATTATTTTTAAAAAAGGAGAAAAAAAGGGGGCAGAATGATACCCAAACATGGATGAATCTCAGTATTTGACAAAGTAGAAGAAGTCTTATTCAAGAATCAGAACACTTAACTTGAGCTGAGGATGTGGCTCAGTGCTTACCTAGCATGCATGAGATACTGGGTTCTCTCCCCAGCACTATAAAAACAAAACAAAAAAACACAGACTAGTTGACTCCATTTATATCAAGTTYTAGAACAGGAAAAAACAATCTGGTCAGTAACTATATCAAAGCAGACTCTGAGAGGCAAACTGAGGACTGTAGAGGAGGAACGTTTTTAGCAAGAGCAGCTCTATCTTGTTGGGAGACTGGGTGAGGTAGATGCACTCTCAAAGCTTATGTTAAGGCAGGGCATGGTGGCACAAAGCCTGTAATCCTGGCAACTTGGGAGGCTGAGACAGAAGGATGTCAAGTTTAAGGCAAGCTTGAGCAACTTAGCAAGACCCGTATCTCAAAAAATAAAAAGAATGGGGATGTAGCTCAGTAGTACAGTACTCCCTGAGTTCAATCTCCAGTTAAAAAAAAAAAAAAAAAAAAAAACTTCCAAAGAGAGCTTTTTATAACATTCCATCTGAGCACAATGCTTCTCCTTCCTCTTGGACACTACACCTTTAGTAGGTGCTGCTGTGTGCCCTTTTCATTTGACCCTAGTGGACTCAGCAACCCAGAAACCTATGTACTGCCCTCCCCATGTGACAAGGTAGACACCCCTCTCATCTTCATGCAATACAGGCAAGCCTCCATCCCACATCTTACCTCCCCACAAGTAAAGAAAGCCTGAATTGAATCATTTGCAGCCGTGGACATGGGTAAACCCTCCCACTGCTGGTTTCTAGCCCACCCAGTGATGCCAGTTCAGCTTCTAGCACTGAACCAAAGGGCACAAGGGAAGCAGATCAGACAGGCAGAGCAACTACTAAAGTGAGAGGTCCCTATCCCTTCAGGTTCCTACCTGGCTGGCCCTCAGTACATTTCCAGAGGATAATCAAAGCC